GTACAAAACATTATTTTTAAGTGAAATCGTAATTTCACCACTTAAAAATCTGTATGAGCATTACATGGTTTAGTTTGGTTTGTTTTACGGCATATCAACCTCAATGGGTTATTTAATGCCGAAATTTTTTTTTATCGTTGGTAATATTTTTTTTTCAAACATGTATTGCTAGTAATATTTTTCCTTCAAAAAATCTGTATCTGGTAATATTTTTTTTCAAAAAAGTATTGCTGGTAATATTTTTTTGCCTAAAATGTATTGCTGGTAATAATGTATTTTCAAAAAATTATTGCTGGTATTTTCAAATAAAATTATTGCTGGTAATAACTTTTTACAAAGTATTTCTGGTATTAAGCCCTTTTTTTACACTTTCATAGTGTTTTAACCCCAGTTTGGGGGTTAACTATTTGCCCATTGCTGGGATTCTTACAGGTGCTACCACCCCGGGTCAGGGAGGACCTGGGAACACTAGCAATTAAGAGGTGGTTCCACGATCCTCAAGAGCTCCTGATGAGAGGCCTTTCAGTTGGATGTAGTTTATCGTTTTATCCAGGACGCGAAAGTAGTTAATCGTTTTACCCAGGATGCTAAGAAAGATTAAGAAACTCAGGCCGATAATTGCATTTAGGAATTGTGGTTACGCTGAATTAAATCACTTATGCCTTCATAAATGAATGAAAGAAACGCAATTGTGAAATAAAGTTTGAAAAATGATATTAATAAAATTTGAAACTGAAACATAAATTGACATACTTAATTTTCTTTAGTTAAAGGCATGTGTTGATCGTTAAATATGGTAGATTTCCACTGTGAAGTACTTAAAAAGAAACGAGTGAAAAAAGTCAATAGTGTATTTTGTTTACAACTCCTTCGGTCGTTCACCAATGTGATTATTATTATTTTTTTCGATAGAACCTCGATATTAGTTAGAGTGGAAAGTAATGAAAAAATAAATAGACAAAATAAATCGTAGAAGAGGAGTTACTTGCTAGTTTAGTCAATGGCAGAATACCCACTGAGATGGCTTAAGCCCAAGTGCCCGGAAGGCAGGGGAGGGCCTAGTGCAAAATTAGTTCATTTGAGTGCATAAACACAAAGAAAAGAGATTCATATAACATTTATAAATTGCACGCAAATGCATTTGTTAAAAAAAAATCCGTTACTTCTGCTAGCTATAGGTAAACGGGTATATCTTGCCTTAAACGGCAACCGGTCTAAGCGACACAAAACTATGAATTCCAAACTGTGAACAAGGAAACGAGAAATCAGTTCACTATTTATCCCAAGAAGTTATAGCATTTCATAGATAACAAAGAAAAGGAATCTGCGGTGAGCCATGCTAAGAGAGCTGTGGAAATTCAATCCACTATCTTTCACAAGAAGTCATGAAATTCCATAGATAATAAAGAAAAGGAATCTGTGGAGAGCCATGATCGCCCATGTCCTGACGAAAAGGAAAACTGTGAATTCCAAATTGTGGACAGGTCAATGGGAAACCAATCCACTATCTTTCCCAGGAAGTTGTGACAATTCATAGATAATAAAGAAAAGGAATCTGTGGAGAGCCATAGTCATACTTTTCTTGAAATAAAAGAGAACTCTGAATTTCAAATTGTGGAGAGGGCAAGGGCAAATCCACTTTCTTTCCCCCAAAATCTGGACAATTCATAGATAAAGAAGAGAAATATATGGAGAGCCATGATCGCCCATATCCTGAAGAAAAAGAAAACTCAGCATTCCAAATTGTGGAGAGTGCAGTGAGAAACCACTATCTTTTCCAAGAAATCATATCAATTCATAGATAATAAAGAAAAGGACTCTGTGGAGAGCCATGATAGTCCATGTCATGAGGAGAATGAAAGCTCTGAATTTCAAATTGCGCAGATGACAATGGTTTGAATGGGGCTTTAAGCTTTTGAAAAAGTCAGAAGTTGCAGGGAATCAGATCTGGACTGTAGTATGCAAGACTATGTTTTGCACCCCCCACAAGACGCAAATAATCTACTTGCCCGGGCATTGTGAATTGCAAAACCTGCATTCAACATCATCACTTGATAAGACACCGGGAGTGTTGAAACAAAATGGCTATTTTTGTAGTGATTTTATAACATGTTTATGTTATAAATTTTCTAAATAAATAATTATATATATATATATATATATATATATATATATATATATATATATATATATATATATACTGTTAGATCTCTCCCATTCGTGCACTTTTTATGAAGTCTGATAGGCAGTTTTTCTTAGATCTTCCGCTCCTCATTCTCACTCAATCACCCTCTCTCACTCTCTTTTCCTTTTCCTCTCTTACATTGTTCCGTTTGAGAGATTTCTGATTCTCTCACTTACTTACTTACTCTCTCTTTCTGCTATTGTTAATTTCAATGATCTCTAACCGTCATATGTCATCCATTGTTCCTGTTGTTATATCTACAGTATATCAAACCAACGCGTTAAAAACTTAAGGTGTTTCAATTTATTGCTGTGACTCATCGCATTGATTCTGTTTGCCATTCAACTCTCGGTGGTTAGGAAAATGACAAAAAGACGGAAGTTTCGCACGACAAACAGAAATGACGGAAAACAAAACGCGTAGATCCGTGAGGCGAGGAAGTGTTAACACTGGTCGAATGGATAAAATTTCCTGTTAGTGAGTTCAGCTAAAACTATAAACATCTAGAAGAAAAAAAAGAGAAGCTATTGAGTTATTTACCCTTTTATTTAATGGTTTTGTTCAGAACGATTTTCACAGAAAACTTGAGAATATTTACTAAGCACAATACATATCGGCTTCAGTCATTTCAAACGATTATAACGTAGCTTTCCTGTGCAATTTCTATAAATATCTTCATGGCAATTGTTTTGATGAACTTTCCTCTTTGGTACCTGGACTTCATGAATTTAAGTGTATTACTAGATTGGCAGTTAAGTATCTTAATTTTATCGTTGAAATGGCTAGACGTAGCCTTAATTTCTATTCTAATTGTTGTGGTAGGATCTACCTAATTTGCATAGTGGAGTACCGACCATATAAATATGGTTGGTACCGGGAAGAGAGGGAGGAATCAAGAGATTCAACCAGAGACTCTGCCCGACTGCGACTCAGTCAACACATTCTCCAGGAACGGTCTTACCAGGAATATACAAAAGACTATATGTAAATATTGTGTACACTTTCTTGTTTCAATACATTTTGTTCTAAGTACATTTTGTGTTGCATTATTATTCCATGCATTAGTCAAATTTCATCACTAATGGCGTCTTCTCACGCAATTTTCGACTGTGGAAATCTCTTCCTGCTTTCCTGTCAACTAAATCCAACCTTACTAAATTTAGATGCTTGTGTCATTTGTGTTACTTTTGAAAGATCAATGCTACTAAATCATAACTTCGATACTTTTGCGGCTACTTTCGAAAGACCAGCCTTACTAAATGTTGATGTTTGTAACCGTTTAGACTAGGTTTGAAAGTCCAGTGGTACTACAGGTTAAATTTGAATGCCTGTGACACTTTGGATTCATTTTGAAAGATCAGCTTTAATAAATTTTTGGATTTTTTTTTTTTATTGGTGAAAGTTTTAGCTACTTTTGAAATGATGTGCACTAGAACAGCCTAACATGCAAATTGCAAATTTGGAAACAGCGAAATCAAACAAGTTCAACAATTTAAATAGAGTGGAAAGTGTTTTCACAGAGGAAACTGCGACATTGAAATCCGAAGGCGCATTGGGATAGCGAAAGATGCCTTCCAAAAGCTAAGCAAAGTATTAAGGAAAATTTCGTTAAGAACTAAGAAAAGAGTACTGAATTGTTATGCAATATTTGTCCTCGTATATAGCAGTGAATTCTGGACAATCTCCTCACACATGAGGAAGAAACTTGAAGCAACAAAAATGTGGTTCTACAGAAGGATGCTGAGGATACCATGAGCTGAACATGATCAACAACGAAGTTTTAGAGCAAATGGAAACAAAAGAGACACTTATAATTGGCATCAGAAAGAGAGTTGTAATTTCTAGGGCACATAATAAGGAAAGAGAGCTTGGGAAATTTGATACTCACAAGACAGATAGAACGCAAGGTCAACAGAGTAAAACAACGCATAACTTACCCGAACAACTTGAGTAAATGGATGGCGGAACAAGGTTTAGAAGAAATAACAAAAAGACAAAATTACGAAGGACAGGGAATTGTGATATTTTGGTCGACTTTTGAAAGATAAACATTAGTGAGTTTTGAATTTCGATATTTGTGACATTTGGTTTACTTTTAAAAGTTCAGCCCGACTAAATTGGGGATGCTGATATTTAATAATTGATATCGTAGCCAATGTTCTGCAATCCATTTACACAAGCATGTTAGGGAAGTCGATGTTTCCATGTGCCATTTTCACTTCATTATGTCCTGTGAATGTTCGATATGCTAAGACTTCTTTCACATTTCAATTGTCCCTTTTTGATTCTGAGGAAAAGTGTATTTCTATTCCCATATTCCTTCCCTATCTTCATGTTCACAAACATAAGCTTAGACGTAGTGCAAGGTCGAAAGTATGGGGCACCCAGTGAGGATCGAACTTACTATTCAGTCGTAACTGATTTAGTGAGACAAGCTTGTTAGCCATTTTTTAAGGATTTTCTAAGCGTAGCTTAGATGTGGCACAAGGCCGAATGTATGGGGCACCCAGTGAGGATCGAACTTACTATTCAGTTGTAACTTTTTTAGCGAGACAAGCTTACTAACCATTACAGTACGCCGAGGTGCCCTCTCATTTTCCAAGCGCAGCTTAGATGTGGCACAAGGCTGAAAGTATGAGGGCACCCGGTGAGGCAAGCTTGCTAACCATTACACCATGTCGAAGTGCCCGTAGCCTTTATTAATATATGAAGGAAAAGTAGGGAAAAGGAAAAAAAAAGAGAGCAGAATAAGATAGAGAAAAAAAAAGAAATAGTAAAAAGGAGAGAAAGATTAAAAAAAGAAAAAGAAAAAGTTTTAAAAACAGCTGAAAAGAAAGAAAATGAAGGCGGACGAAAGGATGGAAGTAAGGCAGTAAAAACGAAAGAATGAAGGAATGAAAAAACGAAAGAATGAAGGAATGAAAGAAGAAAAGAATGAAGACATGAAAGTATAAGAGAAAGAAAGAAAAAATGTACTGAAATAATAAAAGTTGAAGGAATGAAAAAATAAAAGAATGAGGGAATGAAGGAAAAGAGAGAAATAAAAGAATAAAAGAATGATGGAATGAAAGAATAAAAGAAGGAGAAATGAAAGAATAAAAGAATGAAGAAATGAAAGAATAAAAGAATGAAGTAATGAAATAATGAATGTAATGAAAGAAAAGAATGAAATGAAAGAATAAGAGAATGAAGGAATGAAATAATGAATGTAATGAAAGAAAAGAATGAAGTGAAAGAATAAAAGAATGAAGGAATGAAAGAATAAAAGAATGAAGGAATGAAATAATGAAAGAAGGAAGAAATGAAAGATAGCAAAAATGTGGAAGAAGAAGGCAGCAAATAAGAAATAAAATAGAAAATAAAGAAGAAGAAATGGAAAATCGAAGAAAAAGAAGAAAAAGGAAAAGGAAAATGGATAGAAATAAACAGAAAAAGGAATAAATTTACAAAAAAAGAAAAGAAAAGTATGTAAATCGGTAGAAAAAAAATAAAGGAATAGCGGGAAGAAAAAATATAGAAAAATGAGGAAGAATGAACAAAGGAGAAAATAAAATGTAAATAAAAATAAAGTCTGGAAAGAAAATGAAAAGAAGGAAAAAGTTTAAAGAAAGTAAAGTCAAGTAAAAACAGAGCAAATGAAAAAGTGAAGAAAAAGAAATAATGGGTAAGAAAAATGGACAGAAAATAAAAGCAAATAAAGAAAGGAATTTACGAAAGCAAAACGCGAAGAAATAAAAGCAAAAACAGAGATAAGAGAAAAAAAAACTTATTCTAAATAAACCTTCGTCTGATTATTTTTCAACCAACATTTGTCGCCAAACAAAATCTCCTTATAGTTGTTTGAAATTCAAGATACAGATTTATGATGATTTTCTAAACGCAGCTTAGATAACTTGTCCAAATTTACTTAGAGTAACAAAAATAAGTGAGTTGTGGAGAGCCATGTTCATTATGAAGTGATATAGCGTATGAAAGAATATACATTGTCTATTACTACACTACCTCGATAGTTAAATCTCTGTTCCTACCTGATTTTAAAGTTCCCGATATGTAGCTCATATCATAGGTTGTCCCTTTTGCTAACAACCATGTATTCTTACATTTAATACTTTTTCTTGTTTCTTTTTTAAAATGTTCATTGCGCAACTATGTCAACTTAATTTCATCTGTAGTTTCTTTTGTTGTTTCTTGAATTCTCAATGGCGTTGTATTCCATTATCTTTATAGTTCGAGTTTTCTTTTTTTTTTCTTCTTCTTCTTATTATTATTATTATTTGTGTACGTTTCCAGCTTTGTATCTTGTAGTGCCGGATCCAAACTATCGTCCTTAGGCCTTATATAAGAATTGTCATTTAATTGATAGTACTTTTGTAAGTATATGGGATGTTCCTAGGAGAGCGATCTTCTAGGCAATTTGTATGTTGATGTTACCTGGGACACTGTTAGTAAAATTGTCCATTTCTTTTTTCAGGAGGCCCAGGTCTCCGATTATTATTAGTACAGTTTCAGTCTTTATTCCCCACATCCTGTTAATCTCGATCTCCAGGTTTGGACAATTTTCTCTCAGATGGTACTGCTATGTCAATAAGCAGACACTTCCTGAATTTATTGTCTTTTATTATAATATCAGGTCTGTTGGCTTTTATTTCCCTGTCAGTTTGAATTGGCATGTCCCAGAGGATAGTTACATCGTTATTTTGGGTAACTGTGTCTGGTTGGTGCTCATACCATCTCTCAGTAGTTTCGATTTTGTGCTTCTTGCATATCTTCCAGTGCACATATGTCGCTTATAATAATAATAATAATGATTCCTTTGATTACAGTTGTATACACATTTCCTTCCCGGTCTCAACAAGAGACCTAAGGTCAGAAATAGCTTCATGACATTTTCCACTGATCATTTTTGTAAAAAAACAAAAACAAAACAAAAAAAGATCACCTACATTATACATAGATAAAGCTCTTCGTAAAGTGTGAGCTGTAATTGTGAGTACATTGTTTCTTGTATTTCTTTAAAGTATGAACTACCAGGAATCCCTTCAATGTAGGAACCTTTTCCAATCATGCCGAGGGCTCCAACTACAAGTGGAATTATTGATGTCCTCATGTGCCATATTTTTGAGATTCCCACCTCAAGTTCTTTGCATTTTTAAAGTTTTTTTTGAAGATATTTAAAGATACACGACAATCTTCAGGAACTACCAGGTCAAAAAGAAAGCACATTCTGTTCTTGTGGTCTTTGATATTATTATTATTATTATTATTATTTCTTTTGATTTCCATTGTAAAAACTTTTCATTCCTGGTCCCAACCAGAGATCTAAGGTCAGAAATAGCTTCATGACATTTTCAAAAAATAAGATCATATACATTATACATAGCTAAAGACCTTCATAAAGCTGTACTTGTGAGTAGATTTTTTAAAAATATTTTTAAGGCATGGGCTGCAATGAATCTCTTCAATGAGTCTATCGGAATTATTTCCTGTTATTCCGTGCGCTCCAACTACAACTGGAATTATTGATGTCCTCATGTGGCACATTTTTGAGGTTTCCACTTCAAGTCCCTTGTATTTTGATAGTTTTTTTTTGAAGATCTTCAAAGATGCATTACCATCTGCATGGACTGCCATGTCAATAAGAAAGAACATTCTGTTCTCGTGGTCTTTGACCACGTTGGCAGGGCGATTAGTTTTGATTGTTCTGTCTGTGTGTATTGTAAAGCCCCATAAAATTGTTATAGGTCCTATCTCTGTAATGGGGTCAGTGTGATATTCATATCAGTTTCTTGCAGTTTCCTTCCCGTCGTATTATTATTATTTCCTCTTTTGCCCAGTTTTCGTTTTCCCTGGAGATTTTGCATTATGGGTGTTCCCCATCAAGTCGTACGGCCTCAGACAGACAATACCTTTCGCAGAATATTTCCAGTAGCAAGCAATGCAGACGGGTTAAAGCGACGGGTTACATAGGTTTTATTCTGATTTTCTTAATGTAGGACTTCAATTCGGTGGTATAGACCTCAACGTCTTAATGATAACTGGGATAAGAGTCTGGCAGCTGTAATCCGGAGGTTGGTGTATTTCTTACGCTTGTCAATTTCTTTGACCTTGATATTATGGTCAACCAGGAACATCTACGTCAATAAAGAAGCATTATTTGTTTCTTTGTCAAAGATGGTGGTGTCTAGTTCGTTCGCCTAAAGGACGCGATCGGTTTGGATGTTGAAATTTCACAAGATCTTGACTGGGTCGTTTTCGATAATCTTCAATGAAAACGAAGGAAACTCAGCCAGCGTGAAAGGCATGTAAGTGAAACGTGCGCAATATGATGATAATCGAGCTCATCTTGAAATTTTCCGTTAGTTGATTAGTTATTAAAAAGAATGAAGAGGAATTAATCAAACAGCTTAGTATAAATCCTATGGAACTCTCCTGTCATTCTGCTCATTTCCCCCGGGATGTGAAGGTAGTAGTTTACATATTTAACTATCCTTATGCATTTTAATGTATTATTCGCTTTAATCAATTTAATTCCTCTTGATGCGTTGATTTGACTAGTTTTCTCAAAACAAGCGACGTTTGCACGAAGACTTACAATTTTTTGTAGATTTTTAAAAATATTTTTATATTTGTCTATATTTCTGAGATGAGGTATTATGTACACTATTTACATTATTCGGGCTATTGTCCTCATCTTTGTCGCCATATTTATTACAACGTTTCGGCCGTTGTACGTTCCGGCCTTCTTCAAGGACACGTGGCACAGTGGATAAAGGCGTTAGTTAGATCCAGTAACAGGACCCAAAGAGTGTGAGTTCAATACCCGGTTAAGGCAATGGAGAACTTGGAGAGGTGAATTAACAAGAGATAACTGTAAAATTTTCCAATGGTGTTCTTTGCCTTTGATCTCAACCTGATCCCACAGAGGGCGGTGATCTCCCTTCTCTCTCCATATGTGGTCAGCCACGCCTGATTTTTCCACTTCCCCTCATGTTACAGCTGTCTTGGCGGCCTGTCTCCAATTTATATTTCTTTCCACAGCTGCAACCATTGGAAAATTGGCACAGTGGATAAAGGCATTGGTTAGATACAGTGACAGGACCCAAAGAGTGCGAGTTCAATACCCGGTTAAGGCAATGGAGAACTTGCTGAAGGGAATTAACAAGAGATAACTGATAACTGACATCCATTAAACATGGCACGTGGAACTAGAACAGTTTACCCCAGTGACCGAAATAAAGGGTTCAGTTCGACATTCCAACCACCTGAAGAAGGCCGGTACGTACAACGGCTGAAACGATGTAATAAATATGGCGACAAAGATGAGGACAATAGTCCAAATAATGAAAATAGTGTATTTTTATATTTGTATACTATTTTTAATATTACATGAAGCAGACAGACATACTGTCGAAATATTGTCGAACATTGTCTTTTCTTTTCTTTTTCCTTTCATAAATCGCGTTCTTTTCTAACTGTATTATTATTATTATTCGTTTTCCCAGGAGATCGACTCATACGAACTCAGTTAGATAGAACCTTTCGCGGAATATTTGCAGAGCCAAGCATCGCAGACTTCTGAATCGATGGAATACGAGGCTTCATTCCGATTTTCTTAATAGAGGATTTTAGGCTCAGTTGTATAGATAGGATATTCGTTGTGGTGTAATATAATATCAGCTCAGTATGATAAATCGAAGAGCTGAGTTCGAATTCCAGTCGAGTTCGTTACATTATCTTTTCTTCCCAGTTATCGGTTGAATAGCAGGACTGGCTGGTTTATATAGCCTTGGTTGGCAACCAGACTACTGCCGGAAAATCTTCTGCCTACTCAGTCATGAATCAAAAGAGACATGATGACCCAAGCGTGTATCACGTATGGTACTTAACTAACTGGTATAGAAGCCAACGCTCCAATGTTAACGGGGACAATAGTGGCATGAACCGCGAACATTCTGGCGACTTATCGCTCGGTGTACATTTAAGCTTTCCAATTTCTTTGACCTTGATATTATTGTCACAAAGAACAACTACATTGATGAGGAGGCATTTTCATGTTTTTTTTTTGTTTTTTTGTTTTTTAATCAACGACAGTGGCGTCTGGTTTGATGGCCTCAAGGGCGCAGTCTGGATGTTGAAATCTCATAAGATCTTGGTCGTTTTCGATTATATTTTCTGGTCTGTGGCGATGCTATTTCTGTTCAACTTCAAGTTAATACTTCCTACATTGATATCAATGCAAATTGGAGGCCACTTTATCAGGGCGGCATTTATACTATTCCCGTGCAAGAATTCCACAACCGCTAATGTTGGGAGGGGGGTGACATTTCCATATTTGACTTGCCACATAGTCAGCTTCCCCTAACAATGACTAGATATGGGCAATGGAATGAGAACAGTCTACCCCGTAGATTTACTAAAGTGTTTTGTTCAGAATTCCCTGTAGGTTACCCGGATCGCCATACACCTGATGAAGGTAGGAGGGCACAATGGCGGAAACGTTGTGATAAAAACAAAGATGAGGAAAAAATCTGCATGTAAATTGTGTTAAAATATAATGAGAGGGACTTACAAAATAGCTGAGATAGTTGCGTTTTTCTCATGAGATTAGTGTTCTACGGCAGGTTTAGGCTAAAATTTCACAATGGTGATCTTTTCGACAAGCTAGTATTCATCATTTGAAAGACTGACGTAACACAATATCATTCATTACATCTTTGAATGTTAGGCCATGAAATTACGAAAAGGTTAGAGGGAATATAGAAATATTGAGTGAATGTTTTGAAATAAAGTTCATTAACAACACCCTCGG